TGTTGCAACAACCTCTTGTCTCATGGTGTATTGGATACAGATGTAGTTTTACTAATGTTGTGTACGACGCTGTTGGGTATACCTATCTAATGTTGAAACAACCTTTTGTCTCATGGTGGTGTATTTGTTTCAGTGGACGGATATTGTGTTGCACACAACAAGTTTTACAAATACAACACTCTCGTGGACGAGAATAACCCTTGTGAAACATGCACCTGTCAGTCTGATGGTCACGTGATTTGCCATCATAAGACGTGTCCCGTTTTGCCAATGAGTTGTGAGAAAAAGGTTACTCCTTCTGGACAATGTTGTTCAGTGTGCGGTGAGTCTATTCACGATTTTCTATCTTTTATTTGAYTTTTTATTCTATTAGCTTTTACTTTTATTTTTCTATTATACTAACTTTCCAAGAATAATTTTAACAAATTAAACAGTAACAGAAATAAAAGGCAGGAGGACCGCAACAACATTAATTATCATCTGCGGTCCCAGTTTGTTGGAACTCTTTTTATGATTTTTTGGGTTTTTCTTCTGCTGGGGAGGAGGGAGGGGGTTTTACTTTGCTGCCGCAACTACGTAGCCAAATACTGCAGGCTCATACATCATATGTTTTAGTTCCGTCTTCTTTGTTAAAAAAATATATAGTAGTACCTAAGTACCTTATGTCACAAAGGCTGGTTCGGACGTGCTTCCGCCTAAAGGCTCGTGCAATAATGGACGTACCCTTTTTTAAATGATCTTAGATGCGAGAATTTACTCTCCATCCAATGATGCCCGAAACACGGCACGAACACGGCGTGGACACGGTCACGCCAAGGTCACGGCCCTGCCAAACCAATCAAATTGCTCGAGAAACTTTTTTAAAGTGATACGAAAATATCTCTACTATTAAATTGTTCCAATGATGGAATAATATTACRATAATATTTAGCAATTATTCGCCGAAGATGAAGTGAATATCGGGGAATATTTACCGAGACGCGAGTCTTCGGGCGGCGAGGTAAATATTATCGATATTCACTGAGGCTGAGGCAAATAATATCTAACTATATATACAAAGGTGATTCTTTCAAAAGAAAAAAAAAAAAAAAAAAAAAAAAAAAAGAAGATAAAAGACATTTTTCCGGTAACAGCAACAAAGCGGCTGGCCGCCAGTTTGGATTATCGCTGGAGGTGATTATCGCGTGATAGTGTGAGTTTCTCGACCAATCAGCGCGCGAGATTTTCAATAATCACCTGTGCATTTTTACTAATTGCCATTAAACTAATTCACGTTTATAATAATAATTCATAGCATGTTACCACAAAAATAAATATTACCAAAATGGAGATAGTTGGTCATGGCCCTTGAATAATAATGGATGTGAAGAGTGCTCCTGTTCCAATGACCAAGCCGATTGTCAGATCAAAGTTTGCCCTACTTGTAGTGAGTACTTGGACCTACAACCAGGACAGTGTTGTCGGGCTTGTGGTAAGTATGAGTGATTATGAACATCGGTCATACAGTGATAGGATCATCTACTCCTTCCTTTCCTTTCACATCCATTTCAGATTACCTTACCTTCCATTCCATTTCCTTTCCTCTTCAATCCCATTCTATTTCATTCCATCTTTTCCAATTCCATTCTATTCTGTCCTATCCCATTCCATTCTCTCCGATCACTTTTCTTATCTTTCCTTTTCCATTCAATTCCATTTCATTATCTTTTCCAATTCCATTCCATTTCCTCCCACCTCTTTCCTTATCTTTCCTCTTCCATCCAATTTCCTTCCATTTCCACTCCGGAAAAGAGTAGACTTACCGGAATGTTCCACTGATTACAATTCTATTCAGTTCTTCAGTGATCAATACACTTAATTCAATCAAGTAAGTCAGGAAAAAGCCAGCACGAAAGCTTATAATGGATTATGAGGATAATGGGGAACTTTTCATAACGTTAACAAACAAGTAAAGATTTTTTAATACAAACTGCAGCTTAAGGATGCTCAGAAGTGCATGGTGAGACTCTTAGCTACTCTTACTGGTAAAAGATGTGCAAGTATATCTATCAACACCGCTGTCAATCAGTTGAAACATGTAAAATGTTTTTACTCATAATCCTTGTCGGTTTGTGCTTTGTAGATTTTCTGGTGACTAACTTTATTGAAATAAGTATAACAAACTTAAAGTGAGTTATCTAGAGCATTAGTGAACGATAAATTTTTATCGCTTTGCATGGCAAAAAAAACCCTCCAAAAAAACCCACTGTTTTATCGGTCATCATTGAAATCTAGGGATCCAAATGTTGTGTAGTGACACTGCCTTTCATCTCGGGTTTATTAGGTCTCGTTAGGTCTCTTCCCTCGATTCGAGAGTGTTTCTTAAAACAAACCCTAACAAGCTAAATTCTAATTMTAAATTCTAATTGAGKTTTTGCACCATCACGTGGCGGCAGCCATGATAGATGGCAGGAATAACACAATCGTTTTACATGAGAAAGAATTCAATTCCGAAGAGCAAAGGAATTTTATTGTTCTGCCATCTAACCACAGGGCGGTCCAAGTTGTGTTAGGKGCGCCGGCAAGCAATGGTGCAATACCTCTATTTGTTCTGTAAGCTGAGTTAGCCGTGCCATCAACATACACTACTTAAAATCCAAAAAGTAGAGAGAATTCGATAATTTGAGCCTTGCCACCTTAGACGCTCTAAATTTATTTATTTATTTTATTCTATTTATTTTTTATTTTTTGCTCTTTTTACTTTTTTTACTTTTCTTACCGTTTTGTAATTTACTTTTTAATTTAATTAATTTTCAATATATTTCTTTGCTTTTAAAGTTCTTTTTCTTTTCCCTCARTTTTCTTTTTCTACCATTTTTCATTCATYCGTCCATCCATTTATRATTTCTGTTTTCTTTTCAGTCCCAAAGCCCACAATCATTATCCCACCGACAACAGAAGAACCAATCTTAACTCTTCCTCCATGGCCTCCAATCAAGAAATGAGAAAATTGAAGAAAGGCGCCCGACCTTTGTAGTTTTTWAATGTAATCTCATTTCCAAATGAATTGAATTTCTGTCTACTTCTCTTATACACATTAGAAACAATTCCGGGGCAAATGCATGTAATTAAAAAAACAAAACATGTTTGATGATGAATAAACCACGCAGATATTAAAGTACACTCAAGCACATTAATAAATATTGAGACAAAGTTCTTTTCTAGTTCCATCTCAGTTACTTTAGCTATGTTTACTTAGTTTATTTAACCAAGTGTAGAAGCGAGCTTTAGGTTCTTGGGGCATGAATTAATRATCAGATTATTTATCGACTAAATTCACTTTCGTTAAACAAAAATCGATCCCGTCTAAATTGGTAATCATTGATATCTTCATTAATACATTAGAATTAGCCCCTTGGCTGCGCGCATGAGAGGAATCAGAAAACATCGAAAGATCTAGTTCCAAATGTTATATAATTCGCTGTCATAATATCATTGGATCACTTTAGATWATTGTTTAAGGAGGAGTAGAATTGTGACATCGAACACTTATCTAGTGAATGGGAAAGTSGGATAATATTATTGTAGTTCCGTTCGTACTTCAAAACGTGGATCCACATATAGAAGCAAGCAAATATTAACATTTACAAAGGTAAGTTTCACTTTGGATGAAATAATTTGAACTAAAAATGCGAACCATTGTCGATCCCTTCAAATGTCAGATTTGTTCAAAAAGTTGAGCATGTGCTATCGATATTTTTTACGGCAACAGAGCGTATTCTCGCAATCTGAATGGCTGACAGCTAGCTATCAACAAGAGGTAAGACACTTATGACGAATCGATCGCGCTCGCTCATAGCTTTCCATTGCCTTTGCCCTTAATATTGATCGTAGATGACGTCTTAAAATGCTCAAAAACCACGGTAAGCTGCGCAGCGCTCGTGGTTCTACTTGAGTTTTAGAAACTTCATCTATGATCAATAAGAGGACAGTCAATGTAAATCTATGAWCGATTTGCTAATGTGCCTGTTTGTAATGCATCTTGGAGATATCAAGGTTTATACTCCCATTGATGTCAAAGGAGGCATWRTYAAATATACGAAAGAATTTTGGGAAAATAAAACATCCTGTATAAAATATCATTGTCTTACTCAGGGTTTATAGATAGAAAGGTTATAAATCACTCATGATTGTAARCTGCMCGGCTGCTAWAATATAGCGCMTTCATATGCAGCCCGTAAAGTCCTYCACTGCAATGTAAAGCGCACTGAGACAATGTGAAAATGCGCTATATAAGAACCCCCATTATTATTATTGCAAATTTGTCTTCTCATAGGAAGCACTGTCTCAATTTACAAAAATGATGAAAAATAAACTCAAATGSTTCAGTCCTATGACTGCATCACAATCCTTAGCGTATTGGAAGTATAAGCCTTGATTTCTCGCAAGATGCATCACTCGAGCCACATAAAGTATTTTACCATTCAACTATTCACTTCATATACACCTATTTCAAAAAACGTCGTCATCGCCAAAGGCGATAGGTAATAGGCGATAGACGAAAAGCGATAGGAGATAGGTCATTCCAAGATCCAAGAATAGCTGGAATGACTTGTGTTTCTGCTTCTTATTCTCATCAAGAACATGGACCTTAGTGTTGAGACTGATTTAAGGTTCTTTGTATTCAACGAAATCCTTTCCATGTCGGCGCATTTGACCTATCGCCTTTTGCCCGGCTTTTTCGATGACATCGATCGTTTATTGAAATAGGTGTATGTCACCATATATGGAAGCCATTCATTCCATAAAGATGACTTAATGAAAAGGGGGCGCGAACGATTCAGTTTAACGAGTTGTGAAGTATCAAAAAACSAACGARCGAGTCTTCGAGTTTTTGATGCAAAACGAGTGAATAAAGATCGTTCAAGCACTTTCCATGGTGTTTTCTGTTTATTATATTCATACTGAGTCCCCTCGAATAGAAGCTTGACATCTGCCCCGCACATTTTTCACATGTTCTTGACAGACGCCGGTGTGCCAAAGTGAAYGGTGTTGTTCAGCCACGCCAATTTTAAAATCGACTCGAGCGAAGAAATGTCAAGTCGTTTTTTTTTTCTCAGTGTGGTGCTGCAGCTCTCTTTTTGTTTCCTTTTTACATTTCTTTTCGTTTGGATTGTTTTTCGAGTAATAACAAACTCTGTATGGTACTCGCAGGACAGTAAAATTTCTTCAGGTTTCTCTCAGAGCATATTCCCCTACAGCGAATCATTGAGAACTTCCCCTCTTTGTACGTTCCGGCGTTGGTATATAAGCGTAAAAGAGAATAATAATAGGACGGAAAACAGCTTGCCAAAAAGTAAGAAATAGAAAGAAAGGAAGAAAGGAAGGAAGGAAGGAAGGAAGGAAGAATACCGTAGTAAAAACAAGAGCACCTTATGTTCAATGTTTCTTATAGTCGTAAGACACAAGACGACATGCAAGAGGTGGATAAACCAATGGGGTTCATTGTTTTAAATTTCTATGACYGTATTAGGTATATGTCTAATTAACTCGGTTTGAATAAAATATATTAGTAGTGTATATCTTATGAAACAAAAAGCTTTTGAATCTATTTACTACTTTTAATTGAATCCTAAACCATCTGTGTGCACTTTGCTGCTTTACTGCTTGAAAAACGATCCGCAAATAGCCTAAAGGTAAGAAATTATATTCTGAAAGAAAATTAAACTTTTTCTAAACCATCATATGGATTTTTAAAACACCTAAAATGGAAAGGAATGAAAAAATAATAATTAGGTATGAAATATTACTTGATAAAATATATGAAGAGGTCAACGAATACAATTTAAAAATATTTTAATTTTCGATTTTTTAATATGAATTTTTTGTTTGCTTTTTTCAGCGGAAAAAACCCAGAACTATCGTAAGATAGCGAATAGGTTTTAGTAACAAAGGGAAAATTTTTTAAGCAATCAAAATAAAAAAAAATAGTTTGGTTTTATATCGATTGTCGTAAATGTAAATATTGGTTTATAGAATACGCTAGAGTAGTTGCATTCAGGCATCTTTGAWAATGAAAATAYGATAGCGTTGTCCTTTTATTATTTCATTTAAAAATCTTGATTTTGTTCCTCCTTGATAGAAGAGATCAAAATATATTTCTAGGAAGAAGAAAAAATCGCCGTTGAAAAATCTTTTAACAAAAATCAATTTTCTATACAAGTCCTGGTAAATAAATATTTAATCAAATGCAAATTTAAGAAAACTGTTTTTGTTCAATTAGTGAATTTTTATTTTACGTCGTTTGGAGGATGTTTTCTTTGGAGGAGTTAATCTTCTTGTACTTCATATAGCGGGCCGTTAAACTATTCAAAATAGAACTCTGGAACGTCCTACCAGAACATATCAAAAACTCTGGACCAGTGAAATGACTTTTTCAAATTAGAATTTAATTAATTATTTACATATATTTTTAACCATTTGCAAGCGCATTGAGATTTTTAAATGCGCCAAAAGAACTTTATTATTATTATTATTATTATTATTAAATATTCAATCCAAAAATTTATCACAGCGGTAGCGTCAAAATAAATTTAAGTAGTAAAATATACAACAAAAACTACTTTTACGGAATAAACATGCCATGAAACTGATGATTTATGCGTATCTGTGTTGCACATATAGCGTGATGGTGTTGACCTACGCTTTTTTTTTAAATTGTCCTGAAAGGCAGCCGTGCCTTTGCATCGAGGCKAGACGAACGGTGAGCTTGCAATGACAAAGACCTTTTTTAACACCTTATTATACAATTATTCACATAACTCTATCATTGCAAGGTCACCGTTCGTATCGCTTCGATGCAAATGCATGGCTATCTTTCAAGATGGTGCAGGGAACTGTGAAGTGATAATTCTGTAATCCACAGTAATTTGGCAAAGAGAGGTCATTTTTGACGAATCTGAATCTTATGGAGAACAAAATACTTAATGAGTACTTCACAATTAAAGAAGCCCTTGAGGATAATTTCAAGGAGAGTTAAAAATAATGTAAAACTCTCGAAAAACTGCACCATGGGAATGAGTACTTAAASTCAATCACGCCGACTTTGAACAGAGCCGTTGCGCTGCCTTGCCATGCAAATTAAAGTTCTTGGTTTACAGGAAAYTATTGTCTCCTATGCTTCGCTCCTGCTTTTTCTAGATGGTTCTCTCAACATCCCACTGAGATCAGAGTATCCGAAAATGGAGTGTTCCTTAATGTGATAGTAACATTAAAAATAAATAGAAAACTAAAAAGTCGAAAAGATTGCTTGAAAGGTATAGGCGAGCGACTGGCATGACTCAGACAGTTTAATTAATTGAGGGACTTCTAATTCTCTGACCAATCACAGCACAAGCTTGGCTTTTTACCGCCATTTGCTCTCATGCAGGTTAGAGCTTGTTAATGCAATGATAAATCAAACTAATGAATAGAAAGTCGAAAAGATTACTGGCAGACGGTGGTTTGCGATAGGAGTAGCGAATGAGAGGTTTCTTTTTCTTTTTAATTACACGCCTTTTTCCGCTATTTTATCTCTCAGTCCAGTGTTCCTAATGTATATATGATAAATAAGCTAAAAACGAAAATAAGAATACTGTCAGATAGTATTGTTGGCGATCGAGTGAAGACTCAACGACTACACTCAATTAAATTTCTGGCCATTGCAGAGCGCCTTTTTTCGCTATTTAATGTCAGTCCAGTGCTTCTAGTGCATGTCATAAATATCATACTAAAAACGAAAACACGAAAAGAGTACTGACAGACGGTGATTGGCGATTGACAGTGGTGTCTGACCGTTAAGAAAAGGATTTGTTGGATTTGTGGTTGATTTGACACAAGAATATCTAACACAACATAATATACAAGCAAAAGCAAGGTATTTATATAGACAACTTTAGATCAGTTACCACATCATAATATTTTTGTACGTGCTTCTTAGACGCCCAAACAAGGCGTTGTTCGCGTCTTACTGATTAATATTGTTGAAATCTTGGAGCTCAGTTGTTGGCCAAAATTTGAAATAATATGCAAAGACATGTTTAATGGCTATGATTATTTTATATTTTTCGTTTTCAACCACGTAAATATTTTGCTGTATTTTGCTGGTGCCACAATATTGAGTTCACTTGCCAATGAAAAACCAAACCCTTATTGTGAAAACTCTTTTCTGCAGGATAAACAAAGTCATTATTATTATTATTATTATTATTATTACTATCATTATTATTATCATTATTATTATTATTTTGTTTATTTCGACTTTAACTCGTTTTACAAGTATTGTTCTTAGTGAAATTGCGGATACATTATATATCTAAGCAATTCCCCAGTTACATCAAGGCAGATCAGATGTATGTTCATTTGAAGCTATGCAAAGCTTTCACTATCTAYTATTATTATTATGAGGCAATGTAAATGTCTGGATGCCCAGTGAAAAATAAAGCTTTGGTCGGACGGATAACCGTAACCAACCACAGCATCAACTAAACTCTAACAATGACAGTTACAGTTGAAA